GTATCACACCACACACACTCATGTCTATCTATCCTCTACACGCAGATACCACACCACACTCACACACACCACACACACACACACACCACACAGATACACACCACACTCAAACACACCACACAGATACACACCACACTCAAACACACCACACTCACACACACCACACACACACCACACTCAAACACACACACTCACACCACACACCTCTCTCACACTCTCTCCACCCCCACAGATACATCCACACACTCACACACACATCACCACACTCAATATCATCACCAATCTCACATTCACACCACACACACCATCCACCAGAATAACAACACACTCATCACACACCACACACCACACAGATACACTCACCACTTCACACTCTCACACACACCATCCACCTCTTGGAGTCGTGGCGAGGAGAGTGCGGTGGTGGAGTCGGTGGTGGAGTCGTGGTGAGGAGAGTGTGGAGCCGGGTGGCTGAGCGGTGGCAGCTGAGCCCCTGGCGGTGGGGTCCGGCTGGGGCTGAAGCAAGCAGCTGAGCCAGCGCTTGGGGAGGGGCCAAAGGGAGCTTCAGGCGCTTCCCTGGGATCGGGTGGGGACTCCCCAAGTGGCAGCGTGGGAGTTCAGGAAGAGAGGTCTGGAAGGGAGCTCTGGGGGTTCTCTTCAGGGAGTGCCCACGCCGGAGCCTACAGAGAGGACCCTGGAACTTGTTCTTGGCCAGAGCTCTGCAACCATGACTCATGGTTCTGCAGGGCTGGGGTGGCTGAGAGTTGCCCCCAGGGGCACAGGGACTCTGTCTTCACTCTGTCCCTCTTCTAGGCTCCCCCTTCTTCTGTCCGTCTGAACCTCCCCACCCCAATACATGTGACACACCCTGGGCAGGGTGGGTGAACCCTTTATCTTGCCTGGAAAGAATTTAATGGCTTGGAAACAACTGGAAAAGGAGCTGAGAGGAACTACTGGGAAGCAACTCGGAAACAGCACAGCCGCCCCCTGCCCGCCCCAGCCTCCTCCCCTTTCCCCACCAGCCCTGCCAGCAAAGCCCTGGGGACCTAGCGCCTGAATTCCTCAAACTTCCTTCTGCCCCAGTCCTGGACACTGGGTGCAGAACCAGAACCTGCCTTCCTGTCTCTCACTGACCCTCCTACACTCGGGGTTTAGAAATCCTTTCTCTTAATTTTTCCATTCCCCTGGCCAGTAAGCTCCCAAAATAAGGGGCATCTGAATCCCCCAACTCACCCCTCCCTGGCACCCCCTTCCCACCTGTTTCCAACCCAATATCTGGGAACCCCCTTACTCCCTCCCTACTCTCACACCCGTCTACCTTCACTCCTCATCGCCAGATTCCACTGGCACTGTGGCAGGAGGGGCAGAGGAAGGCATGGGGGCGGGGCCAGAACCCCCATCTGTGGACCGTCCCGACCGTCCCTCATGGAAGCCAGCCTCTCTCCCCACCCCCTGGGACCTACAGTCCCTGATGAGAAAAGTGACAAAGTTGGCCACAAGACTGAATACCCAGGAAGCTGAGTCACAGTTTGGGAAGATGCCCCATCCCTGCCGGCCCTCCAACTGTGGGGAGGGTGCCGAGCGGTGAGGCCACAGAAAGGTGCCCGGAAAGTGCAGTAGCGGGGATGGTGAGGGGAGGCACAAGAGACACCCAAATTCTTTCCCTGCCTGGTTCTGAGAGAAGAGTGGAATTCTTCCAAGAGTTGGAAGAGGGGGGCTGGAGGGAGTGGAGACAGGGCAGGGGAGGGGGACTTGGAAAGAAGCTCTGGGGGTGTGGTCTGTGGGTGCCTCTCCTCTCTTCTCCACCAGCCACACCAGCTTTCCAGAGAGGCTGGTGGGCTCTCTTCAGCCTTCCTGCTGCAAAGGCGCTCTCCCCTTCCCCCCGCTGCGTGGGAAAGCTGTGGGAGCGGTGGTTTGGGGGTACTGGACAACTCCCAGAGGCCACCAGGGGTGCAGGCAAGTGCAGCAGGGAATAGGGCCATGTGTCCTCTGCTCCCCACTTGGGCAGGGCCTCCCTCCCTCCAACTAAGTTCATTGACTCACACAGCTACCCTCCGAGGCAATGAGAAATCAGCTCTCATAGGCATCACCCATGGCTGGGTGTGGAGGAAACCTGAAGGGGAGATGGTGTGCATGTGTGTGCGTGTGCGTGTGCGTGTGTGTGCGCGCGCACCTGTGTATCTAGGCACAGGTGAGTT